ATCAACTAGCACAATTCAAAAGACCTAAGACTATTGCAAATTGCAAAGAAGGGTGACCTGAAGCGCGTAATCGCTCTTTCACCTCGACTCTGTGGGATTCATCTACAGGCCGCAGGTGGCTACAAAAGTCTATTAAAAATATTTGGCCTTATCCATTGCCAACTTTGAGAACTCGATAAAGGTTCAGCGACGGTAGCAGATGTAAACTACAGTAAAGGTGCCCGGCGCTGGTTGGCCCCTGCAAGATGCTTCTGAGAATGAGATTAGATGACTGACATAGCTTTTAGGATAATAATGCCTTTGCACAGACTGATATAACAGAGGTGTAAAGTTGCTTTTGAAAGCTATAAGTAAAGAGGCTTAAATAACCATTAAAATATTTCATTTGAAGTAGGGAAAGCAGTAAGTGCACTCCAAACCAAAGCCTGGAATATCGAGTCTAAAAAATGCGCTATTTGCAGCAAGATTAGATGTAGATTTTTTCCTATAACGGATTTTAAAAGGACATCTGTTGTACTAAAATGTTTACGCACTTGAAATTTACCAACTTTTATGTGCCTGCTCTGCAAAAACTTGCTACAAAATTCTACGATGAAGCATCTTTTGAGAGTGGTCAGCCGTAAAGTAAAACATAATTTTCGACCACTCTCTGTTGTTATGAGTACTTCTAAAAAAATCTGAGTTTGTCTTATTTTATCTTTTATCAACTTCTGATTATTAGATAAGCCATACATACGGTCTCTCGGAAATTTTTTCGTTAAACAATCAGGGAAGTTTAATAATTTATGTTGCTTTTTCAAAAAATAAATTATTTTGCAAGTAGATGAGGCAGATTAACCCGAGAACTAAAGTTGGAAGAGTTTCGACAGATTAAAACTATTTGAACTTGAAGAATGAAATATGCAAGCGTTAGAACTATAATTCGTATTTACAGCATCTTTTTTTCTTGACTAATTATATCGATTAATTTTTTTAACAAACTGCAGATCATTTTAGGGTACTCATTTCGTACGCTGCATAAAGCCGAACTCAAAAATGGAACCTGGTAACTTTGAGGGAGCCCAAATTTTAAGTCAGTTGAAATGTGCAGGAATGGCAAGTGTACTGAATCTTATGCAGAAAGGATATCCTTCACGGTCTTTTCCATCTTATTACATTCAATTTCTGGATCTCAGCTATTTTTTAGAGGTTAAATGTACACCAATGTTGGAACTTTTAATCAAAAATGCGTTATTTTAGAACAACTTTTTCGGATTTATACAACATGTATAAAAAGTTTCTTCCTCCCGAACTTGCTCGGCTTGATCCAAGGTTGTTTTGTAAGGTAATCTTTAATGGTCTTTTAAAGCCATATTTTTTGTTAGAACGGCATTTTTTGCTTTTGATAGTTATCAAAAAGATACAAATTAATTGGTTAGGCAAGAGTTATTTGGCACTGTTGCAGTGTTTATTCGGCGCACTTGGCTTAAACAGTGATGACTACAAATTTGGCCTGACAAAAGTGTTTTTTAGACCTGGAAAGTTTGCCGAATTTGATCAGGTTATTACGTTTGTGACATTTTGAAGAAAGAAACAATTAAACTGAAGATTAGAGTTAGTAGCAACAGTCTGCTGCTAGATTATATTTTTAATTGAATTTTTTCAACCATTTTAGATTAGCATACCTTTATAAAACGATTAAACTATCATTTATATATCAGCTAAATCTTTAATGAACTGACGGTGACAGGAAAATTTAGATGCTTCATCAAGATACTGAACATTTGAAGCAGTTGATTCACAAGGTTCAGTCATGGTTACGACGTGTTAGATGGAGAAAAGCACAGTACGGAGTACTCAGTTGCATTAAATGTAGTTTTTTCTGAAATTCTTTTGAAAAATTTTTCCTGATTTCCAGACAAATTTTTCAGAAGTTAGTGTAACACTGAAATGATGCATATGCGGCTTCCATAAATTTCCGCGTTAGCTGCATGGTAAAAAATAAATTGTAATAATGCTTTACAGTGAAAAATAAAATTCTTTACCGATGTAAAGCATTAATAACGATCCAAAGTGCTGTCCGAGGATACATTGTAAGGAAAAAGGAAGCTGAAAGGTCAGTAGTTGAATTTTATTTCTAGCAAGGTGTTTTAGCTTTTTTTTCTAGTTTCAAAGTGATTTTGTTGTAAATGCTATTAATTTCAGATTAAAATGTTACAAAAGTACCGTTAGTGTAATCAACACTGCAGACGCTTTGACAACCGTCCTGAACGAGGCTGAAGCAAACACACGCCAAAAATGGATGCCTTTAGTAACTGATTTGAAGAATCAGGCAAAAACTATTGCCAGTCACGTTAAGGTTTCATAATATGCTTGTTCATTTTTCAACTATACATTAAAATTAGTGACATAGCTCTGTGCAACTAATTATGCTTAATTATGAATCATGAGAGATCATGACTCTAAATCATATCTTATTCTCCTTCTCTGTTAAACTAACAAAAACTGCTTTTTCTTTGGATTGCTGGTATACTAGCAAAATGTAATTTTTATTTACACTTATGAGTAACTGCATTTGAAGTGGCAATTTGTTCTTTAAATAGAAAAAATCATTGAGGATTTGGCAAAAAAGTGAGTCTGCATCCAGTATGATAGTCATTTCACCTATTTCCTTTCATCTTATACATCTTCTCCATTGATTTTTACTTAACTACCTTTCCAGCTTTTTTTCTTTCTAATTTGACTCATTTGAATTTTTTCCTCATTTTCTCCGTCTTATTTGGCGGTTTTGCCCACTGTGCTAAAGAATTTCACAAAATAGTTTTTTGTTCGCGAGATATTCATAACTCTCAAATAAGTCATTGCAATTGAGGTTCTCGGGCTGTTTTTTTACCTATTGGTTTAT